TCAATGCTTTTATACATCCACAGAGTAYTGACTGCTGTCCATGGGATGCAGATGCATTGCCACAGCTGCAAACGTAGAAAAGCATAAAATAACCTGACTTTGGATGTATAGTTCTTGTCCACTCAAAGAATGAAACACTTGGCTTAACTAATGCTGAAAATTAATGAGGTTGATACTCAAGATACTGCAGTCTCCTCAGGAATTTTTTTTTGTTGACACATTTTAAAGCACAATTCTCTATATAGGATGACAGAATGGCTGAAAGTGGTCCAGCCTCAGTCAGGTCACCTAGAAGCAGTTGCCCAGGACTGTGTCCAGGTGGCTTTGGAATGTCTGAGCACAGAGACTCCACAATATCCCTGGACAACCTGTGCCAGTGCTTGGACATCCTCACAGCAGAAAAGTATTTCCTGATGTTCAGACAGAACTTCCTATGTTTCAGTTTGTGCCTTTTGCATCTTGTGCTCTCACTGGGCACTAGTTAAAAGATCCTGGCTCTGTCCTCTCTGCACCTCTGACGAGGTCCCTCCCTGAGCCTTCTCCTCTCCATGTCAKAGTCYCATTTCTCTCRGCCTTTCCTTGTGGGAGAGGTGTTTCAGTGCCTTTAAAATTGTAGTGACACTTTGCTGGACTCTCTCCAGTAGCTCCATATCTGTCCTGTCCTGGGAAGCCCAGAACTAGATACAGTGCTCAAGTACAATTCTTATTCTACTTAGTTTTGACAATCCATAGAAGTTTGCTTGGTTTTTATGTAAATGTCGCAGCTGAACTGAAAATAGGTCTCAGAAGAGAAAATAATTAAGGAGGCCAGWGTTTATACTTAGTAATCCTGAAACAATGCATGGAACGCTTCTTTTTAAATACAGTGATAATATTTTCTTGGGAAAGCGCCAAGAACATTTCAAAATCAATTTCTGTTCACATTCATTTACAGCTCTTGCACTTACTGCACCGTCTGTCTTCATTTCACTGCTCTATACTACTCTGATGGGRTGCATAGAAGCTCTGCTAAACTGTSCTAAAGCTCCATCTGTAGCAGTTTATGATATTTTGCTTGTTAAGCATCCAAGAGGGAGAAATATTAAACATATTGTACTCTGTTTTGRGTTTTCTTAGTAGGCGCAAGTTTTATGGGTATTTTGAAGTTATAAATTGAAATAATGTGAAGTATTATTATTGGACTTTGAACAAAAGTATTTTGCTTTATTTTTGCACCCTCAAGCGTGTAAGTTATGATCGAGGAAATATTTTAATCTAGTATTTATCTTGCATGTGTAAATAATCCCAGACTGCTCTTACTACTGTTCACAGGATCATGGTCTAAGTTTGTTTCAGAATGCTGTTAAGCATTTTTGTACTTCTAGTGTTTGGTTTTCAAGTAGCTTTAAAAAAATAGTGGGAAAGGATACATAAAAATAATTCACAGCTTCATGAATTATGCAAGGCAACATTCTAGTTGATAAGGCAAAATGTTCAGGTACTAAGATATAAATCTGGATGGGATATTACAAAATTAGSCTCTAATTCAGTAAACCATATGGGTCAGAATTACTGCTCACAGACTTGATATAAAAAGCTCATGCTTGAGTGGATCAGACCTATACTGCCCTGGCACAAGATTCTCCCCTTCCAGCTTTCTGTAAGATGAGATTTCTCTGAAGTAAGCAGAATAAAGRCTGTGTAAAGGGCATTTTAAGCCACTTAAGGCTTCACAAAGTGATGCTAGTGAGTGGCTGAAAAAAGCCACTCTCTTTGCCATACAAACATGGTTATTAGAACTACTCTATGTAAGACACATGATTCAAATTTTTTAAAGATGAAAAAGGCAATGTAGATAAARGAAATTATATGTATGTAATATTTAGACACAAACATTATATATATATGTATGTAAAAGCTCAAATTTGAGAATAAAATTTGTTGAGTCTGAAAATAATTTTAAAATGGAGYTGTTTCTTTCTCTGATTATTACCGTTATTATTGCCTCATTAAAAACAAACAAATCCAGTTATCCCTATTTATTTAGTGTTTGGTTTACTTGCAGGTTTCCACCCTGCTGTTTGTAAAGGCAGCCTTTTTCATGCCACAATGTTTTTATCATTTGTGCAAAAAAGCTCAACCATACTTTTTAGAATCACAGCCAGTGATTTAGAAGAGTTTGCCTGCATTTGCTACCTTCTCATGCTGCTCTGTTTCCCTGTGTCAGAGCCAAATGATGAAGCAAAGCCATCAGCTCTCAGAGTCAGCCATTAATACACAGTTCGATGAGAAGCTCTGCTTTGAAAAGGATGCTGGGCTCGGTCATCAATAATCACTGCAATAAAAACTTGGTGCTTGCAAGTGCAGCTGCTGACTCTGGCAGAGCTGGACTGGCCGCCTTCCTGGGTGCCCCACATTTGGATGTTTGTTATTCACTGCACAGTGACTTTCACAGATGTCGGTGCTTGTTACCTACYGAGGAGAAATTAAACCTCTGCAGGTTGGCCAGTGTACAAACTGTTCCCTCTCTTTAATGTCACTTTGCCTCCCAGCCCACRCTGGCTCTGAGGCTCCAAGGCCCAACTGGGCTGCTCAGTCACATGTTCCCRTATCCACCTTTCAATTCAGGCATTGTTGTGCTCTGGAGATGGATTTAGCTTTCAAATATTTCTTGTGATTAGAACAACCCTATCTCAAYAGGTGATCAGCCTGATCTTTTCAGGGACTCCCATTTGCATTAAGATCCTGAACTCCTGTTTACATCAAGGTCATGTTCTTGCATAATGTTTCCGGGAGCTGTGTCTGGATCAGCCTTGGCTGTCACTCCAGTTGCTTTTCACTGCTTGGGTAGTTAAAAAAGATGGAAAACTGGTATATCTGACCTCATTATGCACAGGAATTTTCCACTGGCATTCTCCCCACCATTGCCACAGGAGAAGGTTCTGGGTGAGAGAGGACATTTTCCAAGCACTTTATGGCTCAGTGATGACCTCTTCCTAAAACAGCAACTAAGAAGTAACTTCCGGAACAAGGTATTGAAACTCCTTCTCTTCCAGCCCCATATCCCTGGCACACACATCCTGGAGAGCATGCACACTGCTCTGTGTCAGGCTGGAAGTGGGCTGGGAAAGGAGCTCTGSAACTTGAGCAACGTTTTGCTACTGGCATTGTATGTCCTTGGATCCCTGTTCTTCACCTTGTGGCACACAGACATCACTGTTAAATTGTGAGGCTGGGACAGAGTGTGTCCAACAATTACATGTGTTGTAAAATTATTATTTAATTCATTGTAGGACCCCCTTTAATCCTTGGCTGAAAAGGAAGGTTTCTGAAAAGCCATCTCTGTCTCCATCATGCTGCAGCCAGAAGTTCTGTAAAAGGTGACTTGGCAGGTGCAATTTTTTTCCATCACCAAAACCTCTCCCTGTCTTGCTTTTTTAAAAGTTTACCCTCTTTTTTGTGCTTGCCTTGCAGGTCCAGAAAGCTCAGGTTTTTCTTCTCCAGAGAGTTCCTAGCACAGGATGAGCAGGGACTCAGAGGATCTCAGGGCTGAAGGGGTGGTGCAGGAGTCAGGAAATTGTGCTATGAAGTGCCACTGCCTCAATTAGTTTATTTTCTTTTCCCTTGTCCTGTAGGTTGGAAGAATAAGGGATGGCAGCTTGAGCAGCTGGAAGTTCCTGGAGRTAGGATGCATCTAGGAAGAAGGAAGACATGATAAAGCAAGGCAGACAAAGGAGATGTAGCTGCAGGCAGGGGCAATGGGACATGAGCCAAGTGTATCTGTGTCAYACTCAGTGTGACAGGTCTTTGACATCAGAGGTACATGGATCATGTATGGTTTTGGAGCCTGTCTTTGAGGGCAGCATAAGCAGGATTAAAGACTTAAAATTGAGAGTGTTTAGTTTAAATAAATTCAAAAGCTACTTCCTTCTTCCAGCACTTTCTCCTCTGTGTAAGTGGGTTTTTTATGATATTAGGAATTAGTAAGAGTGATATCACTTCCACCATGTGACATAACTGAGATAAGAATTCATAAATGCATTTKGAACAAACAACTCCGTGTTACTGAAAATAAGATCAGTTATGTGATTAAAATGAAGGCAATCAAATTTGAAGCTTGAGGCTCTGCAGCTAAACAAACATATCTCTAATCAGCAAATTATGTCTTTCCAAGGAACATTATAATTTCAAAACGGAGAAACTACATTAAAACTATCTTCTTTGGTGAAGAAATGATTATGCAGCAATATTTACGTAGTCATAGATAGCGTCTTTTAARGAGAATTCGCGGGGATTTTCCCGATCCATTGGCACACGCCGCACCTCAGGCGCTGGTACAAGGGGGACCCTTGGCGGTCAATCCCCGCAATGGCAGTCGGGGCTCCCGCCGGGCGATTCCTCAAGTGCACCTGGAAAATCCTCGTGTCCTGCAAAAAGCCCGACTGCTCCCTTAGGAATTGGCCGTTGGAGTGGATTTCTAATATTTGCCTCAGGGACTTAGAGAACTGAGGAAGGGAAGAGGCAAAGGAACGGGGAAAGAAAAAGCAACAAAGAGGAAAAGCAGATGATTTACATRTTACATTTTATGCTTCTCTTCGGCATTTGCACACACAAGCAGTTTCTTATAAATTTTACAAGTTCACAGAATCAAAGAAYCGTTWGGGTTAGAAATGACYTCTGGAAATCACCCAGTCCAACCYTCCTGCTAAAGTGGGGTCACCTAGAGCAGGTGACACAGGAACTCATCCAGGTGGGTTYTGAAAGTGTCCAGAGAGGYCTGTGTACACAAGGCCATCTCCCAGCACCCATCAAACTGTATCCAGAGGTGGCTGAGGCTCCAGCTGTAGGTYAAGATCTGATGGTCAGAAATGGTGACACAATGGCCTCCACAGGCCTTTGAGGTTTCACCTTATGGAACAACCCTCCTAAGGACAGCTTGAGGAAAAGAAGCAAGACCCTGTGATGGAACTGCTGTTTTCAGCAGCATCTTTTGAAGCAAGTTCAGAGGTGTCCCAGGGCATGGCAAAGGATGCAGTGAGGAGGAGACAGCAAGAACACCAGGAGGAGAGAAGACAGGGAGGTGCTAGGTGTCTAAGCACAAATATAACCACTGCAAACATCAGCTGGATCACAAACTTCATSTCTTTGTTACAGAGGGGAGATAGAGCCAAGGGGCACTATCCCCCAATACAGTCTTGCCCRGACACTCACAAGCACAGCATTTCTCAAAACAGATCCACTATTTTATTAAGAGATGGACAAGGGGTAAATCCCTTCTGTGCTTCTGGCAGGGACAGTATCACAACTGGGACCATTTGCAGAGGCTGTGCAGGAGGCAAGGATCTGGATTCTATTTGCCTCCTCAGGTGGGGGAGGARGAAGCACAGCATTTTCTCTGGCTTCTGCTCTACACGGCTGCAGAGGTGTCAGCAGATGTCCCGCAGTGCCCAGCTCTGGTGGAACAAGTGCACAGTGGGTGGTGTCAGGGGCAGGAGCAGCAGGCRGTCGATGATGTTGTCCTTGCAGGCTGAGGCGCTGCCGGCTCCCGTGGCTGGACACAGCCATCAGAACGTTTCTTCTGGGAAGGACAAGGCAGGAGCAGAGGAGGTCCCTCCATTATCCAACGGCTTGTCCTCACCACCCTCCTCTTCCTCRTCCTCCTCTATCTCCATCTCCATCTCCATCTGATCCTGGGCATTGCAGGTGTTTTCCCTCTGGCTGTCGCTGTCAGAGGTGTCAGCTCTCCTCCGCCGGGGCAGCAAGTAGATCCCAAAGACTGCGAGGATAAATTCAATACACTTCCAGAACCCCCATTGCTGGCAGATTGAGATGAGYGTGGTTTTCTGGGTGGGTCTGGGCTGCTCCTGAATCCTCTCCTCCATCTTCTGCAGGTTGGACATCTCTTGGCTGCGCTGCTCCTCATGCTGTCTCAGGAGCTCTTCCGTGACCTCCACGGCTGGGAGATCCACGCTCAGCGCATATTGGAAGATGCCTACCACCATCAGGATTTTGGTGATGCCTCCAGCCACGGCCTGGAGGAAGAGAAGGAGAAGGAGGGAGAGAAGGGGCTCAACAGGGCTGGTGGTGGAGAGATGGTGGCTGGGGCAGTGGGGGCAGGAGATGCAGGGCCCAGGGATGGGTGGGAGAGGCGGTGCAGGACCCTGGAGGCAGCCAGGAGAAAGTTGGAACACTGTGGGGATGAGGGCAYATCCCCATGGGCACTGGCTGTAGTTGGCAGCCTTTGTGAATGACCCTGAGGGAGTCACCTGCCCTGCCCAAAACTATCTCCCCAGCCCCTGCATCCTCTCCCCAGCCTTTGAGGCTCCCCCTGGGTGCTGGTGCTTTGTGTCTGTCCCTTGGCCCAGGCTTCCCATCTCCTGCCCCATTCACTGCTGYGGTGACACTGCCACATGGGGCATCTGGGGACATGTCACCCCAAGCCAGAGACACCAGAGCCCCACAGTGACACCCTGCCCAGCCAGATGGGACTTTGGATGGAATTCACATARAACCAGAGAGTTTATCCCATTTGGAAGAAGGGGCAGCCACTCAGGAGGACACAGCTGCCGAGAAGTTGTGAAGGGTGAAAATCAGAAAGCTCAAATGAACCAATGCTCAACTAGAACTTAATCTGGTAATATATTAACTGCCATATAAGGGAATAAAAATGTTTTTATAAATTCATTAGCAACAAAAGGAGCGCTCAGAAGAATCTCCATCCTTTATTGGATRGGGATGAAATATAGCGACAAAGAATGAGGAAGAGACTGAAGTAATTAATGCCTTCTTTGCCTCTGTCTTTAGAGTGAGGCCATTGTTYKCTGTGTACCCAGGCCYCTGAAGTGAGAAATAGAGGTGAGCAGCAGGCAGGAAAYAACACCTGGGCAGAGACACCCAAGTGGCATGCAGGCATTGTTAAAACTTAGCCCATGCTAGAGGATCACTGCCCTGCTACTCACACAGACTAATCCAGAGTTATTCCCAGCTGCCCAGTCACAGTCTCTTGAGCAATWTACAATCTTTCTCACCAGCCAAGTCATCCCCTGGTTGCGCTGTTCCTCACGCTGTATCGGGACCTCCTCCGTGGTCTTCCCTGTCTGGGCATCTGCCCTCAGCCCGTACTGGAGGATGGCCAGCAGCAGCAGGATTTTGGTGATTTTTCCAGCCATGGCCTGGAG